TGTTTTTAGCCACAGTAGCTGTTGTTAGCCACAATAGCTATTGTTAGCCACAGTAGCTGTTGTTAGCCACAGTAGCTATTGTTAGCCACAATAGCTTTTGTTAGCCACAATAACTGTTGTTAGCCACAGTAGCTGCTGTTGGCCACAATAACTGTTGTTAGCCACAATAACTGTTGTTAGCCACAGTAGCTATTGTTAGCCACAATTACTGTTGTTAGCCACAGTAGCTATTGTTAGCCTCAGTAGCTGTGGATAGCCACAATAACTGTTGTTAGCCACAGTAGCTGTTGTTAGCTACAATAACTGTTGTTAACCACAATAGGTGCTGTTAGCCGCAGTAGCTGTTTTTAGCCACAGTAGCTGTTGTTAGCCTCAGTAGCTGTTGTTAGCCACAACAGCCGTTGTTAGCCACAGTAGCTGTTGTTAGCAACAGTTGCTGCGTAGCTCAGGGGATGACAGTGTTAGTTGATAGTTGGTTTGTCCACCACTTTGTTCCAAACTGAAATATCAGAACGAGTGCTCGATGGGCAGATATTTATGGTCCCCAGAGGATGAATCTCAATGACTTTGATGATATTGTAGAACCACTATGAGGTTGACAGTTTTGGCTTTTAGTACAATGTTTCAAGAACTACTGGATGGATTACCATAAAATTTGGGGCAGATACCCTATTCATGACACCCAGAGGATAAATCCTGTTGACTTCAGTTATAGCACTACCAGCAGGGAAGAATTTACCTTTCACTGTGTGATACTTTAATTTATGAGCAAATACTCATGAATGACATTCCCATCAGCCCATACAGCCCCATCAGCTGTACTTTGTACTGTATTTAGCATGTATAAGCAAATGTTACCATGCTGACACACTAAACTAATATTTATGAACTTATATTTATTTTAACATTATTGTAGTTGTACTTCGCATTCTTTGCTTAATTGTAGTCTTAATGTGCTGTGATTTAAATCATTTTTTCATTTGATTTTTTTCTGAATAAAGATTTATTGGAACTTTCAATACGCAAAATAATTTATGTTCAGTGTAAGCATCCAGGTTTTGACGGGTCAATTGATCTTCATAGTGTGAGTCAGGGGTCGTATGTTTTGGCGATCCAGAAACTCTGAATAAGATGTGTAGTGTGAGTTACTGCAACATGCAAGTAAGACCTAAATGAAACTGAACTGATGTGAATATGAAGAGGAGTAGAGGACTGTTAATAGCAATTTTGCTCTTGGAAGAAAATAAAGAGCATGAATTTAGCATTTTTAGCCTTTAGGTCGTTGTGTTACAGTGTGATAAGCCACTAAAAACCTCCCTAATGATACATAGTGCATATATCTGCCAGTTTGTCTTATGGCGTGGTTGCAGGCTTCAGGACACAGAGGTGGTGTTGATTTAAGTTTCTCTGTTGATATAACAGTAACTCTGTCGATTTAAAGGCTTCAGTCTGTAGCTCACAAGCACTTGATCATCAATCAATTAGGCACGCAAGGTGTTTTTCCTCCTCTCTGCTTGGTGGACATGTGTGTGACCTATGCATCTGTGCAGAGGCACCAGGTCAATAGCAGCTTCGCAGCTGAAGCGAGGCGTGTGATTGATCCAAATCTCAATAGCTCAGTCTTTCTAATTCCATTATCAGCCTGATTATGAAATGTAAGTAGGTTTTTCTCGTGCAAATCAGAGCTTTGCCCACTCTGCTGTGCTCTGCATGTTCTAATGGATTGTGTGTGAGTTTCTTTTTTTTTATGTGCTTGACAGGTGTCTTTGTCCATATGTTCTGAATACACTGAGGCCATTTTCTTTCCTTTAACTCTTTATTTCCTTTCAGGCAACTCACAACCACCCGTCTTCTTCACACACACACACACACACACACACACACACACACACACACACACACACACACACACACACACACATCATCATCCTCCTCCACCGACGCCCCCTCATTCCCACCCCAACCCCAACCCCCAATTAACCCTCAGCTTCCAGCAGCACTCCACATCCCCTTAAATGAAATGGGCCAGTTGCTATGGCAACCCCATATAGCAGCACATTATTCCCCCTTCAGAATTCAAAGGAGGATCAATTAGTGATGATGTCATTGCGTCAAGCGAACCACTCAAATCCCGATCACGATTCCTTCAGAGTGGCTATCCAAGGCCTGGGTGTGCGTGTGTGTGTATGTGTGTGCGTGTGTGTGTGTGTGTGTGTGTGTGTGTGTGTGTGTGTGTGTTTGTTCTCACATGTGTTTGTGTGTGCTATTTACAAGATATTTAATGATCTGTAAAAATAAATAAATAAATAAAATGTGAGGTTTCTTATTTTCTCTGTGCAGCTCAGGGTGGAAGATGAAGGCAGACTTGAGGTGCCTGAATCACTGCTACACACTGTGTGGGAGGACTGGATGACAGCAGGATGGGGAATACAAGTGGAATGAAAATTTGACTTCCAGCATGAGGGTTAGATGAAAAGGAGAAAATCACGTATGTTTTTTTTTTTCGTGCGAGAAAGGGGGGTCTTCAAAATAAAACTGGATGTGGACAAAAACAAGTTTAAATATGTGGCATATTTCTCCTGGAGAGAAATGTAGCAGAAAAATGTGCTGCACATCAAACGCAGACCTCACTCTGCCATTTCTCTGACAGAGCAAATTGATATAACAACCCACCTCCCACTTCTATAACCCTGTTGCAACTCTGCTACTGCTTTCCCTCCATGTTACAGAAGAACACTGAGCACTGAGGATGTGCAGCTTTACACAAAGCTCATCAGTGACTTTTACCATTCACTGATTTGAGTTGATTATTATTGTATTCTTTTTTTATTTCTGGTGCTAACTGATAGATGTGTGTTTAGCCTCTCTGCCCAATGGATGCTTGTTTATTTTTATTCTTGTAGTTTTATATCAATCACAGAGGGCAGGCGAGTAAGATAGAGAGAATATATTTTTAGAGACACTCTTCCAAAGGCCTCCTCATCTTCCTCCTCCCCCTCTTCTGTTCATGCATCACCACAGCTGTTAGTAGTAAGAGATTTAGATTCCCTAAAGCACACATGACCAAATCTGAAGACTGGATGGTGCAGAGATTTTGATGTAAAACAAAAACCAACATAACGTGTTGTAGGGTATACTTCACATGAGCTTGGCGTAGATGAACATCATTCTTCCAGTTTTCCCTCATTTGGTACAAAGATGAACGTAGCCTCTGTGACGTCACCCGCGGGTTTCTGAAGAGCGGTATTGAAGGTCAGAGCGAAATGCTCCGCTGTCACCTTCTTGGCAGTGTCTGACTCCGCCCTTAACCCCAAGCTAATCCAAAAATGGACAAAGAGGAGGGGCGTGTGTGGATCTGAGACTTCCGTGTATGCTTGTGGTAAGCATACGCTCACCCACCTGTCATTCAAAGCGGTCATACATTCAATTCTCCATAACATTAAGCCTTAATAAAAATGTAAACAGGTGAGTTACATTAACAGTTATCATGAAGGAGAAATTAGCTATAGAGACCAAAACTGTTTTTTGAACCAGGCTGTAAACATGTTTATTTCTGCTGTTAAGTTGGACATTTTAACATGGGAGTGACTCACAGCCAGACTCTACTGGTCATTAGAGCAACTGCAGTTTTTGGCACTTCAGTGTTGGCTTCATTTTTCAGCCCAGAGGTCGCTGCTTGGTTGTGTGACAAACTTGAAAGCATAGCTGCATCACACTGTAATGTGTCTCCTTATAATGGGTCTTACAGATGGGGATATGGTGACGTCTCTTCTTAAAGGCATTCATGCCCATATACCCAGAAAGTGACAGAATGCGAGACATGAAAAAGGAGAGTTTGAGAGAGAAGGTCAGACTATCTTCACAATTAGCCGATTATAGTGTGAAGATCAGAAAGTTGCAAATGCTGCCAGACACAGCCACAGAGGTTACAGATGTTATCAGACAGATTACGGAGGCCACACACTGTATCATCAAGGCTTTTGAGACATATCAGATAGTGTTATAATGAATTCCTGGTGAACTGTAGCGCTATGACTCACCAACCAGTCATAAACTGTTGCCATTGATTTCATGTTGTGTTTCACCTGCTGGCCGGGTTGTACACATGGGGTCACAGCAGCGGTCTCATCGTGACAATTTGTCCTAAATGTCAGAGACTGTCAGAGTTTTGATGGAATGTGTTTGATGGAGGACGTGTCAGAGCGAACCTGGAATCTGCTGGAGGGGGTCACAGTCTCTAATGCTCCTATTGCCGCTGGGACCACTTCAGACTTTACCCTCCACATCTGTTCCACTTGTCCTTTCAGCCCCTGGTACTTCTCGACTTCTCGATCTTCTCATGCTCCTTCTTTCTGATGTTGCTGTAAATAATACATACATAGTACATACTGTATATACTGTATATACTATGTGTATATATATATATATATATATATATATACATATATGTGGGTGTATATACAGTATATAGATATGTTTATGTATATATGTATATGAATATAATAAAAATAAGAAATGAAACGATGATGGTCACTGTCCGTGGTCCTGATCTCCTCTGCTGCAATGACCTCAGGACCACACACACACATACACACACACAAGACACACACACACACACACACACACACACACACACACACACACACACACACACACACACACACACATACCTCGCTTGTTCCACAGCATCACATCCATATCACTTTCTCTGTTGAAGCTGGTGTGACTGTATTATTTAACATAACACGTTTATGTCTCACATCTATCATGCAAAATTGGATTTGAGCTTAGTCGCGCGCATGTGTGTGGATGAGAGAGAGAGAGTGAGAGAGAGAGAGAGAGAGGGAGGGAGGGGGGAGGAGAGAGGGGGGGGGGGACTTGAAATGCTCGGTGCATTCCTGTGTGGAGGGCGAAGCGAGCAGACACCATCCTAGGGGCAGCGGAATTGCTCGAAATATCAACTTAGAATTCAGCCGTCAGAGATCTGACACGTTCTTGTCTACAAGTAGGAAGTCCGCAGCGTTTTATCCCAACTGCATTTCTGCTGGAAGTTGTGCCCGCGCGGAGCCACCGGAGGAGTCCAGTCCAGTCTTGGACCGTCGCAGCCCCCCGTGAGGGTTTGACTCGTCCCCGGAGGATCCTCAGCGCAGGAGTTTGCATTTGGAGAAAAAGACTGACACAATGGTAAGATTCAACAGACTCTGATGAATTAGAAATGTGTTATCTCGAATTAAAGATTACACGCAGGTCTGGTGTCTCCAAGGATGCGAGGCGGTGCTCGTATTAAAGGGGGGGGAAGGATGGAAATGAGACATGCCGGGGATCTTGCGGCATGTGTCGGGGCTGAGCTCAGTGAGGAGGCTCCTGCTTCACTTCCCTGCACAATTACTGCAAGCGGACATTGAGCAGCGGATTTCAGGTGACAGAAACACATTGTAGAGTAGCATTAGAAGAAGAAGAGAACCACAACATGCTCTCCAACATCTTCGCTCACATATTTGTCCATATGTATGACGAGTTTTTTTTAATGAAGAGAGTCAATTTGATACTGTGCTTTGATGCACAATTTCCTTCAATGTCCAATACATCATTCAGTTACATCATTACATCACTGAATTCACGCACAGCAGGCCTGTAACATATTGGCTTTTGCAGGAATTCAATCACCCAGCCATAATGTCGCTGTTACCCTTTGTTTTATACATTGAAGGTTGTGGTATCTGGGCTCTGTTATTTCCTGCAGGTCTGTGGAATCCCAGCGTTTGGTTGAAGCTGTGAGTGACCTTGTAAAGCATCCTACTGTCATGGAATCACAATTGCTGCTTTCTCTTTTTTCTCCTGCCTGCGTGTAGATGGATTGAGAGGATTAAAAAAAAAAAGAAAGCCTTTCAATCACAGCCACTCATCTGCTGTGTGTTTGACAGAGGTGGACTTCCTCTTAGCACCTTAATGTTTAGGACTGTTTGGCTGAGAGAAAGAGCAGAAAAAGGTGTGTGCGCATGTGTTCCTGCATGTTTCTGATTCTCCGTCATTGATTGATAAAAAGAAACCTGCTGTTTAGCCATTTGTTGACATTTGTGAGCGCTCAGCTGCAGCCTCATTCATAAAGAGTGATGAATGAGTGGCATATCCGCCTCGAAACCCGATTCGAGGCCAAACAGGTGCTATTAGTCCTGTTTAGCAAAAACTTGCGATCAGATCAATGCCTGCTTTCGCCATGGGAGATGTTTTCCAATCCAATCACCTTGATGCACACCTGCAAGAGCTGTTTGAATATCTGAGCTGCTTCATCACAGTTCTTTTTTGTTGTTTAAATTCATAGTTCACATCTGGCACAGCATGTCAGGCAAACTGCAGATTCGGTTTAGGTTCGCTTTACTCATGAGACAAACACATCTACGGTACGTCAGTTAGATGTCGCTGCTAAAACCTTACACAAAACAAAAGTGCTGAAATATCAGGGACAAGCTTTTCTGTCTCTGCTGACATTTAAATGGCCCAATTAGCCTTGTAGTGTTGGCTGGCCTGAACAGCAGCAGAGGAGAGGGAGGGAGAGAGAGAGAGTGAGGGGGGACAGGACATTAGGCATTGGGCCCAGTCACAGCACGGCGGCCTTGTAACACACCCAGTGTCATGCATGAGCCGAGCGTCACTTAGTCGCACGGAGGAGATCCGGTGATGAACGCTGATGCAAAACGCTACACATTAGAGGGGTGATCCAAGAGTTTCCCTGATGCTTTTTTAAATGTAGACAAAACCTCATCATCGGTATCAAATACAGTTTATATTCTGTATCTTCCTGCTGCAGTGATGATGCTTATTGAGGGGAAAAGTCAAACTCAAGACACCTTTTGTCTTTTTTATGGCTGCACCTCTCAGTCAAAAGGAAACATTCAAGATGTCATTACACATTTTACCAAAATTCAGATTGAAGATTTTTGTATTTTTTGTCATTTTAACTAAGATCTAAAATTAAAAAAATGTTTATCCAAAAATCCTGTAAGGAAGCAGGTCTTGAGAGTTTAACTCACCATTTAATTCCTCATATTCTCAAAGTTAATACCGTAAAGTGAAAATCTGGTTTCATACAACCATCTTATCAGTATTGGTTATATGAGATCTGGGAACATTGGTGACCTGGCTACAAAGAGCTTGTTGGATGATGATGAAAAATCTGAATGAGGTCCAAACTGTTTCCTCTTGAGATTTAAAATATTTGTTTTTTTTTTAATCATTATGTAGGGAACCTCTGTTGCTCTCATGCAGTCATGTTGCATATTTGCCCTGACATCTGTAGTGGCATTACTGCGTGCACTGAAACATCCATATACTGAGTACACCATCTTTAAATGCTTTAGTAAACAACGAAAAATGAATTACACACTCTTCATTGTGTTCCTGTTGTTATTGTAGAACATAAATTCAGCTGAGAAAAGTCTCATCTGCCACTGACAGCATGGTCGGTGTGATGTACAGTATATTAAAGGTCCCATATAGTATAAAGGCAGATGTCCATGTGTTGTTTGATTATAAAGCAGGTCTAGGTTCTATATTAATACTGTGAAAGTATCAAAGCGCTCAGTCCACAGAGAAATGCACACAGCCTGTATTCAGAAACTGAGCCTTAAAACCAGCTGTCAGGACTTCTGGAACTTTGTGATGTCACAGTGAAACAGTCTCCACTCTCAGCCATGCCCCAAGCCCCGTCCACCTGGACCCACCATCCAACCTTACAGGATTTGGTTTAACTGAACTGTTTAACTGAAATCTGCTTATTTCTTATAAGATAACTCAGAAAACAGTAAGCCCTCTGATACAACCGAAATAGCGCAGCAGTCATACCGGACCTCAGTTGTCATGGTCACAATAATAAACACGCGGACTGTACTGACAGCGGTGCACCTACATTCGTCACCATGGTTACTATAATAATGGTCATGTGTTAGGTTTTGGCACAAAATTTAATAATGTAATAAATACTTCCTAAACATTACACGGTCTTTATTGTCATGGTTACAATATAGAATGCTGGTTTCTCATGGCAATCAAACACCTCTGTCTTGTGTCATATTCCTGTGTTTTGCTGAACCATCCTCCTCCTTATATGGACTTTGTCGCTCTTTATACTACGTCGCGACACTTTTCCCTTTGCTACTGTCATAATGACTACGACCACTTGGTGTCACCTAACAACAAAACCTAACTATGGGTCATAATAACCTGCTGCAGGAGAGAGGTTCAGAGCCTCCTCTCTTCTGATTGGCTCACCGACCTGTTGTTACTAGAGCTCCAGAGAGAAGCCTGAGAGAGGAGACGTAAAACTACATTGAGATGGTTTTTGGTTCATAAAAACCACAAATATATCTTCTTATGGATCAACACTTCAGATAAAACACAGAAGTGTAAAATATGGAGCTTTAATATTTTTGTGGTTTGAATTATTGGTCCTGAGAGGAAATGCAGATTCTTTAATCTGTCTTCTGCTTTTAAAGGAAATTACAGGAGCTCATCTGATAGTGAAGCTGTTATCCTCCTGCTAATAATGTATGAACACTGTCCATCACTTTGCACTTCACTGTGCCAAGATTTCATGGCAAAACTTGCAAAATTAGTTTGTCACACCTGTGTGCATTTGTAATGCGAGTTGTGTTTCTATCAGGACTCAGAGGTCTGTCAGATGAAAGTAACAGAAACCCAGTAATATGTATGTTAGACAGGAGCTTCAGTTATCAGTGAACTAGCCTTTTAAAATGATGCTTCCTCTTTTCACCACAGCTTGACCAGCAAGGTTGATGGTATGTCACAGCTTTTCCCACATGAAGAACCATGATGTTGCTGGTCAGCGTGGTTGTAGAAATGCACAGGGTCACAGGCTGATGCAGCAAAGCTGTGCTGTACTGAGAACAAGAGCAAACACATTTCATCTGATGTTTAAACTGGCATAAAAAAAAAACAAACCAGTTGCCGTATATATTGACATTCCTGATGAACTTATTGTAATCCAGTTCTCTGTAGAGAGTCATGAACAGTAAACCCTGGGCTGGGCAGGCAGCAGTAGCCGGCTCTACCTGCTCAGCATCACGGTGCAGCCATGCAGGAGACGATGCTGTCTCACCGCTCACTGGGTCACGGTGGGAACCAGACTGAGGCAACTTCAGTTGCATAGCTGCAACACAACGCCCTGCTTCTGCTCTGTCTTTGTGTGTCATACCTGCTCTGCTCTACCATATCAGCTCCTTTGTGCTCCAGTCTCTGCCTGTTCTTGTTTCTGTCACCTTTAAAGCAGGAAGACGCTCGGAAAGCAGAAATACCACAATGTTAAAAGAAAATCTTATGTTTTTAAAAGTCCTACATTCAAATTTTACTTATGTATGCATTAACAAACTTTTTTTTTGCAATGTAATTAGGGGTGGGCGATATGACGATATTAGATCGTGAAGGATTACAACGTGAAGACGATCTTTCAAACTGCAGAGATCGTGGGATCGTCTAGGGCACATTCTATAAATTGCAGTTCTATGCTGATGCACCGACGCACCAGACGTATTGACGTCATCAACCTGACCGACCAATCATAGCGAATTACGGGCAGTGACGCGCTTTCCTACCCGCCTCCTTGTTTGTGTGTGTAGCGGTAGCACATGGAGAGCGATGGCTGAAAGCCAAACGGAGTTGGTCGCAAAAAAAAATTCCACCTCCATTATATGGAATTGGTTTGGATTTTCCGCAACTGATCAAGCGCAAGCAAATGTAATTTGCAAAGTTTGCACAGAAACCGTTCGCACGTCGGGTGGTAACACGACGAACCAGAATGCTGTTGTTGTTTACCTTAAACTTTACGTTGTTTGCACATGCAGGCAAAACTGCGACTATTTGAAATAAAATCTGTTAAGAAAGGTTCTTTGGTCTAAATTGTCTGTTTTTCTTTTTCCAATTTAAGATCGTGATAAAATCGAAATCGTGATTTTATTTTTAAAAAATCGTGATATGATATTTTTGCCATATTGCCCACCCCTAAATGTAATCATTCCATTGGAATTGTGTCTGTTTGACTTTCTTCACCAACTATGTCGGTCTGCCAACTGATGTAAAGATGTTTTATGTGAGTATAACTGCTGGTCATGGCAACAGGGTTGATGAGAGAGGCTCAAATTCACCATACAGTGAACAGTAAATAAATGTTT